TCGCTCGTACCTCCCTGACCCATGCGGCTGCTCCCCACTTTCTGTGGCCGTTTGCGGTCCGGTACGCAGCGCATCAGCTCAACCTCTGGCCCCGTGTCTCCTTGCCGGAGACTTCCCCGACTCTACGGTGGACGGGAGAGGTTGGCGATGCGTCGCGTTTCCGGGTCTGGGGATCTCGAGCTTTTGTCCGCGACACGTCCGCGGACAAGCTCTCGCGTCGCACTGTTCCCTGTGTCTTTCTTGGCTTTGTTCCCGACGCGCCTGGCTGGCAGTTTTACCACGTCACCTCGCGCCGGGTTCTGGCCTCTCAGGACGTCACTTTTGACGAGTCCGTCCCCTTCTACCGCCTCTTCCCCTACCGCACTGCCCCGCTCCCCCCCCCACCTCTCTTCCTCGCTCCAGGTGCTGAGGTACCAGACCCCCTCCCCCCTCAGGGTGCCGCTCCCTCAGGTGTGTCCCAGGTAGACCCGGCTGAGCCTGTCGAGGTAGCTGTTGACTCGCGTCCTGCGTCTGGGGGTGCTGAGCCTGGGAGTGCTGCGTTTGAGGGTGCGGAGCCTGGGGGTGCTGAGCCTGGAGGTGCGGAGCCTGGGGGTGCTGAGCCTGGAGGTGCGGAGCCTGGAGGTGTGGAGCCTGGGGGTGCGGAGCCTGGAGGTGCGGAGCCTGGAGGTGCTGAGTCTGGACGTGCTGAGTCTGGGGGTGCTGAGTCTGGGGGTGCTGAGCCTGAGCGTGCTCCACCTGGAGGAGACCCCTCCTCCCAGCAGCTGCAGGAGAGGTACCTCGAGTACTGCCGCCTCCGGAGAGGTGCTTCTGGAGCTCGTCCCGGTACTTCCCCTCCTACCCAGGAGCTCCCCCCCATTCAGGTGATCCGCGAGTGGTACACGCGGCGCTGCAGTCTTCGTAGTGGTGCTCCTGGTACTGCGGACCCGAGCGGTGGTGCTGTTGCTGGTGCTGAGGACCCGGACGCTGGAGCTGCTGCTGGTGCTGAGGACCCGGGGGCTGGAGCTGCTGCTGGTGCTGAGGACCCGGGCGTTGGAGCTACTGCTGGTGCTGAGGACCCGACCGGTGGCGCTGCTGCTGGTGCTGAGGACCTGACCAGTGGCCCTACTGCTGGTGTTGAGGACCCGGGCGTTGGAGCTGCTGCTGGTGCTGAGGACCCGACCGGTGGTGCTGCTGCTGGTGCTGAGGACTCGGGCGTTGGAGCTGCTGCTGGTGCTGAGGACTCGGGCGTTGGGGCTGCCACTGGTGTCCCTGCTGCTTCTGGAGACGCTGCGCGGCCGCGACCGTACTTCGTACCGCTCCTTCAGCAGGTTCTTGGTCAGGCTCCTCCTCCTTGTCCTCCTCCCTCCGTCGAGTGTCCTCTGCCTGTCCAGCCGCAGTCACAGTTACCGCCTGTCTCGCCTCTCCCTGCTCCCTCCCCTTACGCTGGTCCCACAGGAGGTCTTACAGAGCGTCGTGAGCCTGAGTCTCGTCCTGCGTCGCCTGTTCGTACTGCTCGCACTGGTCGTCGTGTCCCACGTGAGCGTCCTCCTCCTGTCCCTGGCACTCACTACATGACTCTGCGTCCCTCCACTGCTCCGCAGCGTGTCCCGCTGCCGTCTCCTCCTGCGTCCTCCCTTCCTACTCTTCCTGACCCGGAGTCTGACTCCCGTCGTGCTGCCAGTCCCACTGTTACGCGTCTCCTCGCTACAGTTGTCACTGACCCGACCTTTGAGTCCTCTGCTGCGTCTGCCCTGGTCGCTGAGTTGGTTGACTTTGCTGCTCGCTGTCGCCTAGACTACGCTGCCAGCCTTGTCGCTAGGTCTGAGTCTGCGTCTGCCTGTCCTCCGTCCGTCGGGGGTGAGTGTGCCCTCGGCACGGACGTCCTTGAGGACAGACAGGAGGAGTTCCACTGCCTTGCTGCTGCTTTGCCCCGTCTCGTGTCCTTGCTAGTTGCCCCTGAGGGAGACCCGGATGCACCAGACATCCCGACCCCACGCTCTTACGCTGAGGCGATGGCGGGTCCCTACTCCTCTCAGTGGCAGACAGCCATGGACGCAGAGATGGCCTCCTGGAAGTCCACAGGCACCTACGTAGACGAGGTTCCCCCTCCTGGGGCGAACATCGTCAGTGGCATGTGGATTTTCAGGGTGAAGCGGCCTCCGGGTTCTCCACCTGTCTTCAAGGCGCGCTACGTGGCTCGAGGCTTCAGTCAGCGAGAGGGAGTAGACTTCTTTCAGACCTTCTCCCCCACCCCGAAGATGACTACTCTTCGGGTGCTGCTGCACATAGCCGCTCACCGCGACTACGAGCTTCACTCTCTTGACTTCAGCACTGCTTTCTTGCAGGGCAGCCTGCACGAGGAGATCTGGCTGCGCCGCCCCCCTGGCTTCACTGGGTCATTTCCTCCTGGCACCCAGTGGAGGCTTCAGCGGCCGGTCTACGGTCTCCGCCAGGCGCCACGTGAGTGGCACGACACACTGAGGACGACACTTGCGGCTCTTGGGTTCGCTCCCTCTACTGCTGACCCGTCGCTGTTTCTACGCACCGACACCTCGCTGCCGCCGTTCTACATTCTCGTGTACGTCGACGACTTGGTCTTTGCCACGGCTGACACCGCGGCACTCGCTCACGTGAAGTCGGAGCTGCAGAGGAGACATACGTGCACAGACCTGGGTGAGCTGACGAGCTATCTTGGCTTGCGGATCACCCGGGACAGAGCACGGCGCACCATCACCCTGACTCAGTCACACATGGTGCAGCAGGTCCTCCAGCGCTTCCGCTTCACGTACTCCTCGCCTCAGTCCACTCCTCTGCCTACCGGTCACTCGCTCTCAGCTCTGCCTTCGGATGAGTCCGTAGAGCCGAGTGGCCCGTATCTAGAGCTTGTGGGCTGCCTCATGTACCTGATGACCTGCACTCGACCTGACCTTGCATACCCTCTTAGCATCCTAGCACGCTATGTCGCTCCTGGCCGTCACCGGAAGGAGCACATGGATGCTGCTAAGAGGGTGTTGCGCTACTTGTGCAGTACGTCGGGCATGGGGCTTGTGCTTGGAGGGCGAGACCAGGTTGTTCTCACAGGGCACTCAGACGCTTCTTGGGCAGACGACCAGGCTACTCAGCGGTCGTCCCAGGGTTACACCTTCAGCCTTGGCTCTGGCTCAGTTTCTTGGCGTTCTACTCGCTCTTCTTCTGTTCTCAGCTCCAGTTGTGAGGCTGAGATCTACGCCACAGCCATGGCTGCTCAGGAGCTACGCTGGCTGACCTACCTGCTGACCGACCTCGGAGAGCGGCCTCGTTCTCCTCCAGTGCTGTACGTCGACAACAAGGCTGCCATTGCCTTGTGTGAGGAGCACAGACTGGAGCACAGAACGAAGCACATCGCTCTGCGGTACTTCCTTGCTCGAGAGCTGCAGCAGCGTGGTCAGCTTTGTCTGCGTTACGTGGCCACGGAGGCCAACACTGCTGATGTGTTCACCAAGGCGCTTCAGCCTTGTGACCATCAGCGCTTTTGCACTCTGCTAGGCCTTGTACCTACTGGGCCTCACTTGCTTACCTCTTGACCTTACTTGTACTGTGATCACTATATATATATGCCTGCATGTTTACACTTGCTAGGTTGTTATCACTGTATCTCTTGTTATATTATCAACCTGCATGTGAACTGGTCTTGTGACCACTTGCTTGTGCTCGGAATTTGTGTGGTATCCTTGAGATCCACCCTGAGCTTGTTTTGCTTTGCTTTGACTGGTCTTGTGACCCTGTGGTTGTTTCCCACTGCGCCTATGGGGGTGTGTCAAACATTGCATGTTTATATTGTCTAGGCTGTAGTGGGTTACACCTTAGGGGGTACACAAAGTTAGGGTTTCCTACTTGTACCAAACTCTGTTCTAGTTCATTCATTCCTGCTCAGTTATTTCTGACACTTCGTCTTCGTCACGTGGCCACTCGGGCCAACACTGCTGATATATTCACCAAGGCACTTCCGTCTGGTGATCATCAGCGCTTTTGTACCCTGTTAGGCCTTGTGCCTACGTTTCCACACTTGCTGTAGTCTCTGCTTGTACTGTGATCTATATATATACATGCATGCCTGCTCTTGCTAGGTAGTCATCACTGTACTGTTATTGTTGCATATATATCTCTGCATGTGGACTGGCCTTGTGGCCCTTTGCTTGTGCTCAGAATGTGTGGTGACGTTGAGATCCACCCTGAGCTTGCTTTGCTTCTCTTGACTGGTCGTTTGACCCCTTGTTCTCCCCCACTTTGCCTATGGGGGTGTGTCAAACATATATGCTGCATATTGTCTAGGCTGTAGTGGGGTAGCCCATATGGGGTACAGCCCAATTAGGGTTTACTACTTGTACTCCTGCATGCTGCTAGTTCATCCATTCCTGCTGCTAGATTCTGACAGGAACAACACCATCAAAACTTCCACACTTACTTCGAGCAACATTGTAGGTGAAATGTCAGACGGCAAGTTAAGAGCGTGTTACACCTGCCCTAATCTCAAGGATCACGTAGCTAAGATCACCATAACCCCAACCCTAGGATTACGAGTGGCAAAACAACAATTTTTGGTGCACATCACAATCCTTGTTGGTGTACCATCTGCAAATTTGCAATGGTGATCCTCTGCGACCAGGCGACGTCGCCTGAAACGACGCGACAGTCGCGATCGTCGGATATTTTTGTTGACCACGTTGACTGCGTTACTGATCCGAAATCAACCGCTTTATTGGTTCGAACTTCATCAAAAGAATGCTCTGATTAGTCGCGATTTTGTTACAGCAGTTCACGACAACAAAAGTTTCGTCATCAAGGATCACCTTGTCTTTGGTACAAAGATGCAAGGATCACCGAGAGATTGGCAGTCACCACGATCTCCCAAAAAACACCAAGATCGGGTATCACGATCTCTCGTGATTTCGATCCTTCCTCTGTTGGTACATCACCTGACACAGTGATTACTGTACAGTGGTAGGTATGACACTGTTCTGTAAGGATCGCCTACGTGATCCTCAAAATGCAGCAATCTTTGCTTGGGTGTAACACGCTCTTAGCAGGACGAGCTTGCGATTGGCAACAATTTTGTCGGCTTCCGCCATCACGAACTCCTCCACCCTCGGATCCTCCAAACATCTGTGGTTACATGCAGGCATGAGTGAGAACTTGAAAGACCGACTCTCACATTCATGACAGCATGTGCGAGAGATGTACGATAGCAACAACGCATAGATTGTTACATGCGTGACCACAAGTACAAGATGAACGGTGCGAAAAGACAGCACTGGTGCTTCTGAAACTGAATTGCAAACAAACACAGCAAATTCATCCACAACGTGCCACGAGCAGAGTCCTGCGATTACGATTATGTTGCATTTAGAAAGAATAGGGTGCAGACACGAAACGAGTGAATGGAACTTACGCTTCCACGAGCATAGAAACGTTATCCTTTTTCGGCATCACCTCCAGGATCCTCCTAAGGTCCGTTTCGTAGATTACTTCGCCTGAAGACTCATCGATGATTTTCTTCCCCTTTTCGCTCTGATCCATGACATGAAAGGTGCAGAGATGGCTGCAGCGCGAGACGGCAGGGAGGGGGAGGGGGAGGGCAGGGGAGATGAGGGAAGAGATTATCAGGACGGACGAGGGAGATGAAGGGGAACGGAAAATATGGGAGGGGGACATATCCGAGATAAAACAGGTTAAGACAGAAATTTAACATACTTGTCGCAGCCACCTCACGGTGCGATACGGAAGCAGGGTGCTGCCATCTCTGCGCTTCACACACTCGCTGACGTTACGGCACTCAAGACTTGTGTCTTACCTGCACTCGCGTAATCGTTCGCTGAGGCCTTTTTAGGAAGAACAAGTTACGCGGATCCTCCGCGGAGTCGCGGATCGAGAGTTGTATTTAAAAAACCGCGGATCAAGAGAATTAGAGTAGGGCAGGCGCGGATCAAGCTTTCTTTCTGCAACCTCTTGGTTAGCAAGTCCCTTCCCTCTAATAAGAAAACGCCCGTGGTTTCCCCAGCGGGGTTCTGTCGCCATAGCAACCATCACGCTGTCACGGCGCCTACGCATTTCACGAGAAAGGAGACGTGGCGGCTATGCAGGCAGGGTTAGGCCGCGCGAAGCTTGCAGATCCTAGTTGGGGTTTCAGACAACGTGGCAGAATGAATTGAAGAACCGAATTGTTGACGAAGTGGTCAACAAAACGCTTCGCGATTTTTCGAGGGGGTCAGCTATTTGTTCAGACGCTCTCGAAACAACTTCCAGAGCTCGCAGGTGGTTACCGTTCGCACGAACAGCCACAGGTGCAAACACCTGATTGCATACAAGCCCCAGCGATGAAGTCGGCTGAACACGAATCTCGATTCTGAAACACGGGAACTGTAGCACTTTCGGAGAGCAGGAGGTGGCGTTTACTGTACACACATCCGATGGTAGGCAACTTCATTATGAAGCGAAGCAAACGTCATAAAACAATCTTTGGTATAGAAATTCTACTATGGCAGAGTGAAATTCATCATGTGGACTGCAAGAGATAGTGATCTTTTTGAACGCCAGCCATGCCACCCACCAAGCCACCATGTGATGCTTCTCTGTGCCACCAAATAAGATTCACCATTTCCTGGCGCGGCGAAACCAGACAAGACCTTATGAATTGAATTATAAAGAGAGACCAGAATATAGGGAAATACAGTCAGGGAAGTACACTCGTGTAGCTGTGTCCACGCAATCCTTTCACCCTCTCTTCCAACCCTCCCCGCTTACCCCTATCCATCCTTCCTTCCCAACTTCCCAACTTCTTTCTGCATTCCCTCGTTCCCGCCTTGCCTCCGCCCCTCCTCCCTTCAAGCTTTCATGTGGTACTGCTGCATGCACGTTGATGCGGTTGCTACAAACCACGCCTGCTGCATGATGGAGGGAAGGAGTGGAGAATAAGGATCTAAAGGGAGAACGTTCTCAGAGCTTAAGCAAGCTATAAGCAATGGCAGAAGTGAAACTTTTGAAGGGAGATGGACGATAGAAATATAAGTGACAATGCAGTTGAAACCCCGCACACTTCCCCTCTTAACTGTGGAGGATAGAAGTGGAAGTGGCAAAGGACAGGACGGGAATGCCAAGGGGAGGCGATGGGGAAGCCATGGGGAAGGATCTGCTGCAGCAGCAGACGCGTCGACTCCCGTATCCAAGCCACCAGCTCCTCGTGCCGAGCCTCCGCTGCCTGGCTCGGGAAAGCGGATACAAAGGAAGGGGGATAAGGTTCGGAATATGTGGTGGGTTAGGGTCGGCAAAACAGGAATAGACAGCAAGGTTACGGCAGAGCGAGGAAGAAGAGAGTGGGGAACAGAAGAAAAGGGAACTTGATATTCTTGATGCTCCATCGAAAAGCCTTCTTGGCTGCTTTGCCTTCCTCAGAGCTCTCCACTCGAGCCTCTTTCACTCAGAGCGGAGATTCTGGCCGTTTCTTCTGCTTCCATCTCTGAAAGGTTCAAAACGGGAGAGGAGAAAAGGGCAGGGTAGGGATGATAACGAGGAGCAACACGGCTGGGAGGAAACGTCTCATCAAGTCAGCATTGCATGCGTTGGTATTCCGCCCTTGTCGCCGCTCTCCTGCTCTGCACCTTCCTACAAAGTGATGCTTGACTTGCCTGCTGCAACCTCGGGCCCTTGAGTCCCGCGCTGCGCTGCTGCGCCCCTCCCCCCTTTCGTTTAGTTAATGTGAACCGGCAGAACGAGCAGCGGAACGAGCAGCGGAACGAGCAGCAGAACGAGCAGCGGAACGAGCAGCGAAATGAGCAGCGAAATGAGCAGCGAAACGAGCAGCGAAACGAGCGCGGGCACAGGGGGAAGAGCGCCACGAGCGCCATGGTTACCACCCATGCGCCACGAACGTGTACGTCTGCAGACCCATGCGCGCGTTACCGCCCATGTTACCGCCGGTGTTACCAGCGGTTCTGCTGCTGCTGCCAGTCCCCCCCGAGCTGGCTCCCGTGCCTGCTGCTGAGGGTCGGGGCGCGGTGGAGGCGGAGGAAGGCGCGGCATAGGCGGAGGGAGGCGGGGGAAGCGGCGGGTTGCAGGGGATCGACTTGGAAGTCCGAATCTACGCACTGGCAGAAGAACTTTGTCTGTAGCGGCGGAGGACGGCGAGGTCGTTGGCTCTATCCGGTGGGATTGTGAGGTTGTTGAAATAGTCGCGCCACGCCGCGCTGCCCGCGAAATCGAACGCCGCGAACGCTGCCTGCTGCTCCGCCGTGTTACCCATTGAAATTGCGGGTTGCGCGTGCGCTGGCGACGGGCGACGCGGTGTGGTGTGGTGTGCGGATGCGGTGGAGAAAAAGAGCCGTGGGGGACGGGCGATGGAGGAATGGCTTGATGCTGCGCCGCGGCGGGTGTGCTGGGTGGCGCACAGGGGATCTACAGAGGCAGACCTTGAATCCTGGCACGGAAGGGAGGAGACGAGACGAAATGGGCGGGAAGAGCGAATGAACACGGTGAACGCGACGGCAATATGAATTACGGTAGAGAAAGGGGTAACTAAGAGAATCGAATGTGTGGTTCAGTGGATTCTTGCGAAACGAACCATACTGATGCAAGTCTACATCGCCGTCATAGCTGGCCTTATGGACGGTCAACGAACCTTACCGCTTGCGCGCTGCGAGGACGAAACCGTTAGCTTCCGGCGATTCAACGGCGTTCCCGCCGGCGATCCTAGAGGCTCCGTCTTCTCCGTCAGCAAAAGAGACTACTAACTATGCATCTACGATTATGCTGTACTAGATCGTGCAGGTTCTGTTTCCAGGGCGCGTGTCCTTGTACAGTATTTTGCAAAGTCGTAAATATGGTCTAACTTTAACCATTCGAACCTAGGTCGACCTAGGGTCGACTATATCGCGTATTGCAATATCCAGCGGGCGAGGGTCACTGGTAACAAAATACTTTTCGCCCGGATGTCGCACATTTTCGAGAGCCAGAGGAGCACAGGACCACTCCACACCACATCGCAATTGCAATCCCATCTGGCTGAGTCCCCGAACTGGTCAGCAATGTTCAGGGAAAGCATGAAGGATCGCGCTTCGATCTTGATTTGGCGCAGCTATGCAAGGGACGCCACGCCCACACCTGTCCGATCCCTCACGTGACGATAGCCCACCTGTCCGGTCAACATGGCTAGCATGTCCACACTTCACCGCACCGCGCTCTTTCCCCATTTCCGCGCACATTCAGATCCGCGCCGCATTCAGATCCGCGCCGCATTCAGATCCGCGCCGCTCTCATCCTCATCCTCGTCCTCCCCTCTCGATTTCCGCCATTTTCGTAGTCTTGAGGCTGTCCGTGCAGATTTCCCATCCCGTCGTCACCTCTCCCTCTCGTTCGCCGTCGCCTCTCCCTCTTGCCCGCCGTCGCCTCCCCCTCGCATCCCGCCGTCGCCTCCCCCTCACATCCCGCCGTCGCCTCTGAAGACAGCTGCACGAGCGCGAGCTCGCGGGCGAGCGCGAGGTGCTTTCTTAGGCGCCGTGATTCGGAGGTGCGTTTACTTATCCCCGTTTTTTTCTCCTCATTCCCCCTCTGAAATTCGCTTACTTTCATATTTTGTAGCTTCTGTTCGTCGCTTGGTCTCCTTGCGTTGCAATTTTTTTAAAGAGGAGGAGAGAGGGGGAGCGAGGGAGCACCAAGAGCGTGTGGGAGGGAGAGGCGGGAGAGAGAGCGCCGTGCGCGCTTGCGCCGGTGGCGCGGGCGCCTTGTCGCTCGCGCCTAAGCCCGCCGCATCTCCACCACCCACCTGCTGCGCCCGCCGCATCTCCACCACCCACCTGCTGCGCCCGCCTCTCCACCACCCACCTGCTCCGCCCGCCTCTCCACCACCCACCTGCTGCGCCCGCCGGAAGCCAACAACCAACCGGCACAGACTTGGGGCAGTCCTTGTCGGCACACGACACCCCTGCACTGCACCACCTCTACCGCGTCTTCAAGGGGCTCGGTGCGATCCCGCTGCTGTACCTATCTGCCCTGCCGCTCACTTTGCTGCTGCTCTGCGCTCGCCTGCTCTGCCGCTCTGCTGCTCACCGCTCTGTTGCGCTGGTGCGGTTCACTCTTGCTGTGTGCTGCGCCACCCCATCCATCTCCCTCCCTCTGTTCTCTCTTTCGTCGTCTCAGACTCCTTGTCTGTAACGCCACCATTCACTTCTCTTTCCCCCGCCCTCTTCCGCCCCCAACAGTTCTGCTGAACGACTCACAGCTGTTGGAGCAGCTCTTTGCACCCGATGCCGTCATGGACGTCATTGCGCACTCGAGTGTGAGTCACCATGCCCACATGCGCATGCCATGCCATAGCAGCATGCTACCATGCCATGTCACCATGCCAACATGCCGCCATGTTTCCCCCACCGCCTCCCACATGCCCCACCTGCCATGTGTACCTCATGTGTGGCTCTAATCTCCCCTTGCCTCAACTCTCCTCACCTTACCTCCCTTCCCTTCCTGGTCTCGCCTGACCTTTTTCCTCCCCATTCTTCCCCACCCCTCCTTCTCCCCATTGCCCGCCTGTGCAGACGACCCGGACGTGCCGTGCAGGCAGCAGCACCGCTCGAGTGTGCAGCAGCAGGCGGTGTACCGCGAGGGCCTCCCCATCCCCAGCGCTAGCATGCTCGCCAACATCCACCACACGTACCGCCTCGGCGCCATTGGCTGCCATTGGCTGGCAGTGAGGGACACTTGTCAGCAGGAGGTGGCTCGCGCGCAGATCGCAGTGTCTCTCGTGCCCTGTGCCAGGGACTATGGCACGCAGGTGAGAGGAAGGAGTGTGACGGGGTGTGCATGCACTTGTGTGTGAGGGTATGAGGGTATGACTGGGTTGCTTGTGTCTGGGTCAACTGCACGTGTCAGCAGGAGGTGGCTCGTGTGCAGATCCCCGTGTTTCTCGTGCCTTGCGCCAGGGACTATGGCACGCAGGTGTGTGTGCAAGGGGGTGTGCGTGTGCTTGTGTGTGTGGGTAAGAGGTGTGCTTATGGCGCCCAGGTACTGGGTTGCTTGACCCGGAGAAGGTGGCTTCGCGTGCAGATCCCCGTGTTTCTCGTGCCTTGCGCCAGGGACTATGGCACGCAGGTGTGTGTGCAAGGGGGTGTGCGTGTGCTTGTGTGTGTGGGTAAGAGGTGTGCTTATGGCGCCCAGGTACTGGGTTGCTTGACCCGGAGAAGGTGGCTTCGCGTGCAGATCCCCGTGTTTCTCGTGCCTTGCGCCAGGGACTATGGCACGCAGGTGTGTGTGCAAGGGGGTGTGCGTGTGCTTGTGTGTGTGGGTAAGAGGTGTGCTTATGGCGCCCAGGTACTGGGTTGCTTGACCCGGAGAAGGTGGCTTCGCGTGCAGATCCCCGTGTTTCTCGTGCCCTGCGCCAGGGACTATGGCACGCAGGTGTGTGTGCAAGGGGGTGTGCGTGTGCTTGTGTGTGTGGGTAAGAGGTGTGCTTATGGCGCCCAGGTACTGGGTTGCTTGACCCGGAGAAGGTGGCTTCGCGTGCAGATCCCCGTGCTTCTCGTGCCTTGCGCCAGGGACTATGGCACGCAGGTGCGTGTGCAAGGGGGTGTGCGTGTGCTTGTGTGTGTGGGTAAGAGGTGTGCTTATGGCGCCCAGGTACTGGGTTGCTTGACCCGGAGAAGGTGGCTTCGCGTGCAGATCCCCGTGTTTCTCGTGCCTTGCGCCAGGGACTATGGCACGCAGGTGTGTGTGCAAGGGGCTGTGCGTGTGCTTGTGTGTGTGGGTAAGAGGTGTGCTTATGGCGCCCAGGTACTGGGTTGCTTGACCCGGAGAAGGTGGCTTCGCGTGCAGATCCCCGTGTTTCTCGTGCCTTGCGCCAGGGACTATGGCACGCAGGTGCGTGTGCAAGGGGGTGTGCGTGTGCTTGTGTGTGTGGGTAAGAGGTGTGCTTATGGCGCCCAGGTACTGGGTTGCTTGACCCGGAGAAGGTGGCTTCGCGTGCAGATCCCCGTGTTTCTCGTGCCCTGCGCCAGGGACTATGGCACGCAGGTGCGTGTGCAAGGGGGTGTGCGTGTGCTTTTGTGTGTGGGTAAGAGGTGTGCTTATGGCGCCCAGGTACTGGGTTGCTTGACCCGGAGAAGGTGGCTTCGCGTGCAGATCCCCGTGTTTCTCGTGCCCTGCGCCAGGGACTATGGCACGCAGGTGCGTGTGGGAGGGTGTTGAGTTGTGCGTGTATGTGTGAGTATGAAGGTGTGATTGGGTTGCTTGACCAGCAGGACAGGAGGTGGCCCGCGTGCAGATCGCAGTGTCGCTGTACTGTACTGTCAGGGTGCTTGACCAGGGACTATGGCATGCAGGCGCGTGTGGTACTGTACTGTGAGGGTGTGACGTGTTACTAGGTTGTTTGTTTTTGGGTCGATCCCAATGTGAGCAGGATGTAACCCGTGTGCAGATCGCCGCGTCTCCCGTGCCCTGTGCCAGGGACTGTGGCATGCAGGTGCGTGGGGGGGTGGGGATGGGGGTGTGCAGGGGTGTTCAATTGTGTTTGAGCGTGTGAGGGTGTGGGATGCTTGCTTTCGGATGGACTCAAATGTGTGAGAATGTGTCAGCAGGAGATGGTTTGCATGCGGATTGCTGTGGCTCTCGTTGCTTGTGTGAGAGAATATGAAACGCAGGTGTGTGAGGGGATGCTGACAGCAGCAGTGGCAGCTCGGGGATGCCTTCCATGCCCACACCTTCAATTCAATCCGCTCACCTGCTTCCCCTTTGTTACCCTCGTTCCCGCCACCTCCAGTGCCAGCCCATCTCCGAGTCAGCAGCATATGACTGGGTGCTAGCAGCAGCCATGGCAGCGCAGTTATCCCCTCTTCCTACCTCGATCTTCATGCGTGCTGCTGCTCTCTCTCCCCTCCTCCATCTTCCCCCCACCAACAGTGCCAGCCCATCGCGGAGTCAGCAGCATACGACTGGGTGCTCGCAGCAGCCATGGCAGCTCAGGGCTTCCACGCGCGCAACCTGCGCCTCTCAGGCCCCTGGGAGTGGCTGTGCGATCAAGTTGCTACCTGCTATGGTGTCTCTACTCATTATACCAAGCTCAGGTGCGCTTACCTCAAGACTCATGCCAACACCCAACACCCCATGCGCGCAACCTGCGCCTCTCGGGCCCCTGGGAGTGGCTCTGCGACCAGTTCGCCACCTGCTATGGCGTCTCTCCACACTACACGAACCTCAGGTGCGTTTAGCCCAAGAGTCCTTCCAACACCCCACCTGACACCCCACCCGACACCCCACCCGACACCCCACGCGCGCAACCTCCGCCTCTCAGGCCCGTGGGAGTGGCTCTGCGACCAGTTCGCTACGTGCTATGGTGTCTCCCCACATTATTCTAAGCTCAGGTACGCTTAGTCTAAATCCTGCCAACACCAGACCCAACACCCCACGCTCCCAACCACCACCTTCTTTGGCGTAAGAAAACCCAACGGCCAAGCCCAACATTTTTTCTTTCTTTCTTTCTTTGTCTCCACAATTCCGGTTCTCCATCCACGTCCAGTTTGACCGGTACCTCATGCTTGTGATGGACGTGGCAACAGCAACAGCCGACTGTCTCTCTCTCATCCGCCAGTTGCTTGCACCGGTGCTGCATGCACACGACAGTTTCTCACTCCTGTCCCATCTCTCCCTTTTTCCTATTCACCTCTGTACGTCTCTGCCCCATTGCGCAGGTACCTCACGCGAGTGATGGACGTGGCAACACCAACAGCTGACTGCCTTACCCTGATCCATCAGCTGCTGGCGCCGGTGCTGCATGCACACGACAGTGACGGCAGCAGTGTGACTAAACAGGAGGTGAGTAATCCTTGAGGTGTGACTATGTCGGATAAACAGCAATGGAACGCCCGCCCGCCCCACAGCTGGTGCCTCGTCCACAATACTTCTCTAGCGTGCCTCCTCTCCGCCCTTACCCCTCCTCTCCCCTTCATCACCCCTCCCCTCCCCCCTTGTACAGGTGTGCATGCTAGCAGACATATGGAAGCACTCTCTTGCACCGCTGCCCACCTCTCTGCACCCCTCTGCTCTTTACCAAATTGC